TAAAGGTTGGAGACCGCGCCCTCGTACTACTTCCCACGACGGAAAACAAGCTTATGATGCATTGGAAAGGACCTTTCAGGGTCACAGGAAAGAAGGGTGACTCTGACTACTGGCTGGATATGGGACATACTACCAAGCTGTTCCATATAAACATGTTAAAACGCTACGAAGAGCGTCCTCCAGAAATATCACCCCAGTCCGCATCTTTCATTGTAGTGGAAGAGGAAGAGACAGACACGCCAGTGCCTACCTTTAAAGCTACTGAGGGCTTTGGTACTGAAGCTATCAAGCTTGGTCCTAACCTCAGGAATAGACAAAGGGAAGAAATTGACGAGCTCCTAGCCACCCATAAAGACGTCTTTTCCGAAGTCCCCGGCAAGACAAACTTGTTAGAGTGTCGTCTTAAACTGACAACGTCCGAGCCTATCAACACTCCACAATATCCGTTACCATTCGCAATGAAAGAGGTAGTTGAGAAAGAAGTCGGAGAAATGCTGCGACTCGGAGTGATTGAAAGGTCCGACTCACCTTACAACTCACCATTGGTGCTGGTGAAGAAGCCCGATAAGAGTTACCGTACTTGCATCGACTTCCGTCGCATCAATGATGTGTTGGTCTCCGACGCAGAACCAATTCCGAGAACGGATGTATTGTTTACAGAGATCGGCACCAGAAAATTCTTCTCCAAGTTTGACCTTACGAAAGGATACTGGCAGGTGCCCTTGGACAAAGAATCCCGGCTAAAAACGGCATTCTCCACCCAATCGGGACACTACCATTTCCTCTATATGCCATTCGGTATCAAAACAGCGTCCGCAGTGTTTACCCGGCTAATGAGACGTCTCCTTCAGGGCATCCCGAACGTCGTTCATTATATCGATGATGTTCTCGTCGCTACGACAACCTGGGAGGAACACATGCAGACTCTGAGTGAACTGATGAATAGGATTCGAGAAGCAGGACTCAAAATTAAGCCCCAGAAATCGGAGATTGGAATGACGTCGATTGTGTTCCTGGGTCATCGACTGGGAGATGGAACAATTCAGCCGGTAGAGGACACAATCATAAAAATCGCCAAAGCCCCATTACCCACTACGAAGAAACAACTACGTTCGTTTCTTGGCTTGGCAGGATATTATCGTGATCTAATCCCTCACTACGCTGAGAAGGCACTGCCTCTGACAGAGATGACAAAGAAAAGGGAGAGTAACAAGATCAATTGGAATATTGAAGGGCAGACAGCTTTCGAAACACTAAAGCAAGCTCTGGCGTCTGGACCTATTTTAAAGGCTCCGGATCTCAAACGTGGATTTGTACTCCGCAGTGACGCCTCCGATTCTTGCATCGGTGCAGTCCTTATGCAAGAGCACGACGGTGTTTTATACCCGGTAAAATACGCCAGTCGTCAGCTACTGCCTCGAGAACAGAACTACTCAACAATCGAGCGGGAGTGTCTCGCGTTGGTGTGGGCAGTGGAAAAGTTCCACATATTTTTATATGGGACATATTTCACGGTTCAAACAGATCACCAACCGTTGCAGTACTTATCTCGAGCAAAACACCTCAACAGCAGAGTTCTGCGGTGGAGTTTAGTACTGCAAGAGTACAACTTTCACGTAGAACATATAAAGGGATCCGAGAATGTTGGAGCCGACTACATGAGTAGGTTGCAGTGAATATGTTCTGTGTGTTATTATTACAAGGTTATGCTTGTGTGGTGGACTGTTACTGGAGTTAATGACTGTATTTGTACTGTTCTTAGTTGCTGCCAAAAACTTTTCTTATTGTTGTTGGTTGAATGTTACGTTCTGTGGACTCGGTGTTTCGACGTGAGACATGTCAACGAAGAAGCAGTGTGGTGCCATCGGTGTGTTGTGATAGCTTGTGTGGTGCGCATCGAACGACAGTTTTTCAACGGGAAAAACTTCTTCGAAAGGGGGCCATTGTGATGCGATGGTGATGCGACTGGTGCGCGTAATTGTGAATGATTGAAAAGTGCGCGAAATTAAAGGATGACCGAGTGCACGTGCTGGGTCGCCTGAACAACGACGACGCCGAGGACCGGTACACGTGAGAGCGTGGAGCGCAAGCATCCAAGACCATAAAGCAAACAAGGGCCAATGGCTGATCACCACGGAGTTTTGAAAGGCCAATCGGGACGAGACAAGTGTGCCCCAGAGGAAGCCAATCCTGAAGGGCAAAAGAGCTAGTAGTTCGAGGTGAACGAGGCAAGAGGAAGGTCACAGCTGGGAGCTGAAGACAGGCAGTCGGGTGGCAGACCTGAGCCTTCTGGACTTCACCCGGTCTGGACCTCCGGACAACGCCTTCCAAGGACGGCGAGCTGCCTCAACGGTCGAGACCAAGGCCTGCAGATTCCGGTGCGGGTGCAGCAACGGCAGTTCGGGTCACGGGCCTGAGCCTTGCAACCAGCCACCTCATCGGGCGAATCTGGGCCGCCACAGGCATCACCGAGCGAGTCCCGTTCCATCGTCGCCGCCAGCGAGCATCGGTACACGCCGTCGCCACCATTACAGCAGCAACGTTTTGGTGAGATCGAACTTGCTCTCTTCCCTGCACCGCCGAATCACCGCGTCAGAACTGCATCATGTAGCTGTGACTTTCCGTCGGCAGTTTCGGGACTTTAGATGTTTGTTTTCCTTCTAAATCCCGCTTTTAGCCAGCTACTCATTTCTTGTAGTTTGTGTTTGAGTTTTGCTTCAGTTCTGCAGTAAATGTTTAGGCGTTGTTTGTTAAGCAAACGGCTTTGTCTTTATTAGAACAACTCTCCGGGGCTCAACCAGGAGAAACAAATCAGCAACGAGAACCCGCATCACAAGTGGGCATTACTCTTCACTACAGTGTCATTGAGAAGCCTGTTGTGAACAGGATGTGTGTGTTTGTAAAGCGTGAACATTATTTTCACGCCATTCAAGCAAAAGCAAAGCTGTGTGGTAGAACAACTACTTGCCACGCAAACGGCCCGGATTCAACTCTCTCTAGGACCCGGTAATTATCATTCATTTTTGTTTGCATATTTCTCAATTTTTCGGTCAAGTACAAGATCATATTTACTCAAATCTAGGTCGACGCCGATTTCTAAGCCAACCACCAAAAGTCCGAAGCTTGGGGAAAACAAAAAAAAAGCTTACCTCAAATGTAGGCTTAATGAAACAGCGTGCACAAAGAGAAAGCATTTATTTAACATGACAATGCAATAAAGAAGTTAGTTCATGATATGAATAACTAGAGAAACATACAGCTGCTAGTCCTGTTGTGTGTTTTTTACAGCGAAAGCTGTTATGAGATCTTAACATAGGTCACGCGCGGCGCTGTAATTGTCTGCCGCCCGCGGTATCCAGAATTGAAAGAAGAAAGAAAAAAAAAAACTCGGCAAATAAAAAAACACTAATGACACAATGGGATTCGAACCCTGGTCTGCTGCGTGCCAGCCCAGTATTCTATCACTGCTCCTTGCCAGTGCTTGAAACTCAATTCAAAAGTGGCCTAAGGTAGGCTTGATATCGGGGAAATAATTACTTTACTATGAGAAATAAAGCGTTTTAGAATAGCAAATGAACGACCAGGTGTCCGACAATGCGAATCGTGTAATGAGTGGGTCGTTCTATGCTCCAACTCATTAGTAAACTTGTTCTTGATCACATATTAACTGTGGCTCATACCCACTTCAGGCATAATTCTTCGTGATCATCAGCCACTGCATAAAAATTGCACAGAATTTCTAACAGGTGTGTAGCAGATACCACGCTTCTCCAAAGAATGACGAAGGATAGCACAGTGAGTGCTGACCTACTGCACAAAGATATATATTATTCTGTCTGGTCGAAATGGCAAAAAGGAATGATTGCACTCTTTCTGTATTTACGTGTGCTTTATCCTCCTTCTGTTAGGATTACGTATTATTTGAAAGGCCTTAAATTTCATATCCTCAATTCTTGGCCAATCCCCCCGAGTGGGCAAGAGCCACAGTGGAGGCACCATCACCATCATCATCATCACTATGATTATTTGTGGCGTAGTGGGTACCCAGCTGTGTGCTTGTAGCAGGTGAGCCTGTTTCACATGCGAGCGGCTGGGCAGTGGTGGTCCTGGCGATGAGCGGCAGCAGGATGCGCTCACATGCGTTCGTTTCACATGCGCCACTGATACCGCTGCTGTTGCGCAGCGCCTGCTGCTCAAGCGGCCAATGTTGCCTGCAGAAAGCACCACCTAATTGCCGTTTTCAGTTGTATCTAAAAACCACGCTTTGCTGCAGGTATCCTTCCTTTGGCACCCTTGTGCTGAGAGGTTCATTATCAATAGCCGCTTGACTTTGACGCACCTGTACACTGATTGCACTAAGTTGAACGTGCATCTTTTCAAAAATAAACAGCATTTGCAGTTTCTTTTTTAGTTTTGCTCTGGCTTTTTAATGTATGGTTCTTGTTGCGCACTCACATGGAGAAGCAAAGAGCAAAAGAAAAAGTTTGCTGGTATGGTTTTATTAGGCAGCTGTTCCAGCTGGGTGAAGTCTGTTGTAACAGTACTTGTATTTTGCATACTCCTTTTACAACAACCAAAATAATTTTCACTATGGAGGTTTGTTGTAATGAGGTTATACTGTAGTATGATGCTTAAGAGATGGCGCCAGGCTGTTGTGCACTAACATCATCTGTGGTTGAAAAGAGCAGACGACATTACTGCTGTAATTTTGGGAGGTTTGATAAGTACTCTCGGAAAAAATATCTTATTTTGTAAGGCAATGCAGGGGGTGTGAGATTGTGCAAGTGTGAGGATTGCGCAAGTAAATACACTATTAAGCATTTAAGCTTATGGGCGTGAGATCTGTGTCCATTTGTGGCTCTTACAAGTGAGAGAAAATGCAGTGAAAACTGGCCATCCTAGCCAAAACTTCTTATCAGAAGTACTTAAAAGTCCTGCTCTGCACTAACCTTCATTTTACAGTCTTGTGGCCACAAGAGTTTTCACAAACTTGTGTGCAGACCCCTCCTCCTCCGTCGAGCCCCAAGAAAGAGATGAGGCGGCCCGTGTTTCCAGACCATGCGGGCGAGCAGCCAGGACCCCAGCAGCCGTGGTTCACCCCCCGCACTAAGGCCATCATCTGGGGCATGCAGACACGTGCGGTGCAGAGCATGCTGGACTTTGACTTTGTGTGCTCGCGCCCCGAGGGCTCGGTGGTGGCCATGGTGTACCCGTTCACGGGCGACCACAAGCAGAAGTTTTACTGGGGCCACAAGGAGGTGCTGCTGCCAGTGTACAAAAATATGGCGGACGCCATGAAGCGCCACCCGGACGCTGATGTGCTCATCAACTTTGCCTCTCTGCGGTCGGCCTATGAGAGCACCTTCGAAACACTTCAGTACCCACAGGTGCAGTTACCTTCATGGCCAGCATTCTCATGCGCAAAGCTTTGCACTAATGCTTGTTAGTTGGCTACAAAAAGGCTCTGAACAACTGTTGCAGGTTCGCCTATATTTTTGACATGTTGGTATAAAAAACTTCCTGAAGTGTATAAACTGCAAAGAAATAGTAATATCAAGCAAATTTCATTCAAATCAAATCTGTATTTGTCTGAAACAAAGTGGGACATATGTGGACCTGCTTAAACAAAGTGGGACATATATGGACCTGCTTGTTAACTCACTAGTTTAGGGGAAGCACTTGTCTTAAAAATAGAATTTTTATAATTAGGGGTATTTTAATGAAATCAATTGTGTATGTGCGTTTCTTTCTCCTGTCTTGAAACATCTATTTAGTTTTATTGTGCCTCAAGTAGTTATCGTATTTTGAGAAAATAAGTGAAGTCTAATTAGGTAATTTCTTATGGGTGATTAAGGCACTTTTTCTTGATATTTTTTGGTTCAGTTTAAGATGCATCTGTAGTCAAAGATCTGCCACGTGGAGATATGCTATTTATATTGATGCTGATATCTATCATCTTATGAAAATTTGCAATTGTATTCCGTAATTTTGAAGTGTATACAGCTTGAGCACGAAAATGTGTAAAAGAAGCGTACAAATTAAGCAAAATGGGAATTGAAGGCACTCAAAACATTCACTCAGCTGCGAAAAAGTTCAGCATTTTGCTTCATTGCATGTTCATGAGGGATGGTAACGCGGCGCTTTGCCAGAGCCTATCCCTGAGGTCATGAACTGGCAAACGAACACTCCGGCACAAGATGGTAGAGAGCGTGGCTAGTCTACCTCCAAACATTTGTTGTTGCCATTGTGGTGCTGGACAGTTTTCACCAGCACCTAATCTGACATCTCCTCGGTAGTGGATACATAGTTGTTTGCCGAAAAAATGTCGCATACTGTATTTACTCGATTCTACCGCGCCCTCGATTGTAACGCGCACCCGATTTCCACCGCGAAAAAAAAACAAAAAAACGTAAGACATCGATTGCAACGCGCACCCATTTTTCTCGCTGGCCCGCACGATCACACCACTCGAGAAAACGACTCCTTTCGGGAGCGTATTCCATTTAAATATGAGGTACGGGCGAAGCTTGTGCCCATCTGACGTGTAACAGAGCATTGCCGTCACTGTAGTTTTACCGTGGACCGATGTCAGCACGCGAACTTGCTTCGCCCCCTTCTTCTCGATGGTTGTGGTGCCAGGCATGTCCAAGTAAAGAGGCGTCTGACCGGCATTCCCGATTTGCCCAAGCAGGTAGCCGTTGTTGCGCCACAAGTTTAGGACGAACCTATGAAAACTGTGAAGCTTTTCATCGTACTCCTTCGCAAAACTTTTCGCATATGCATGTTCCGCTTCGGAGAAAAAAGCCTTTCCTCTTCATGAAGTTAGTTAGCCAGCACCTGCTCGCTTTAAACTGGCTCTGCATTAGACCTTTTTCTAAGACTAATTGCATAGCCCGCACTTGGAGCAGTTCTGTCGTCACGGGCCGCTGTGCCGCTCGCTGCTCAAGCTCATACTCGTCGAGCAGCTCTTTAATTTGCGGAAACCGACCCTGCTGTGGTCCACTGAAGCCTTTGCGTGAAGCTTTGCTGTCGACAATCTTCTGCTTTTGTTTCCGCCGGTCCCGCACGCACGTTTCGGGAACTCCTAACGACCGAGATGCGGCCCTATTTCCGTCCTTTTCTGCACACGCGATGACTTTTCTTTTAAAAGCGGCATCGTCGTGCACTTGAGTTTTTGGAGTCGGCCCTTTCACGGCGTCGATGCTAATGCACTACTAGATGACGAACTCCTCAGCACACGTACGAAGTGCCGCACATGGCAAACACATAGGCAGAAATGGCCGACGCGCCATGCTGACGCACGTAGGGGGCGGCCATTTTGGATTTGCCGACGGCAATAGATTGACCGTAATTTTTTTGTTCGTACTCGATTTAACGCGCATGCGATTTATGAACTCGCTTAACCGGAAAAAAGGTGCGCGTTAGATTCGAGTAATTACGGTAAGTGCATGTTGTCAGGGGTTGCTCAATGCCTTCTCAGTGACACCATTCACGTGCCCCTCACAAGGAAAACGAAAATGAACTACTCGGATGTCCCAGAATATTCGGAAATTTACTCTCCATTTTTCAATGTGGTGCCAGATATCCAGTGAAAACTTGAAGCAAGGATTTTTTTATTGTTGATGTCACCTGGTGTCACATACTGTTAGAGAAGTGCAATCTAGAAGCTTGTGCAATAACCGAACAGTGGTGCTGCCAATGCAATTTTTTTTTTTTGTAGAAGAGCTTATTTATTAAACGTAGATGAGCTCTTCTAGTAGCTTTGGTGACAGCCGCAAGTGGCGGGTTGGGGAATGAGCTGGAACGCACTTTCGAGGGCCGCAGGCCCTTTTGTCCACCTCGTACAGTTTTTATTTTTCGTAAATTCTCTTTAATATATTTTCTTTTCTATCATCAAGCCGCATGCCTCTTTAGTAGTACTTTCATGTCAGCATTGTTGCATACCAGTGGTTTTTGCGTAGTTATGTCATTTCTATGGTGTCATTGCTATAGCAATGGTGATAGTCTCGCGAATCGTGATCAACTTTGACAATGTAAAAATTGCACTAGCTACGAGCACTAAACCCCACCGCATGCAAATCTAGCAACAAGCATTACTGGAAGTCTTGAACCATAAACTGCTTTGTTTCCCTAAATAAGTGCCACTAAATGTAGGTGACATTTAATATGACATTTTTCCAACACTGTTGGCATGTGGAGCGCTCAAAATTTAGGCCGTAAAATTGTTTTATGTTCATCTGAGGAAGGTGGTGTTTGGGCGTTACAATGCAGACAGCATTTGTGAAACGAGAAGTGCCAGCCCAGATGAAAAAGTTCATGTGATTGAATTTATTGAACTTCTGTGGGAATCCTTTGAGCGTACTCAAAACTTGCATTTGTCGTGCCTCTCTTGTGCAGATCCGCACCATTGCCATCATTGCCGAGGGCATCCCAGAAAACATGACGCGTAAAATGATCAAGGCTGCGCACAGCAAGGGTGTCAACATCATCGGCCCGGCTACTGTAAGTTTTTGTTTACGATTCTTGTTTGTTGCGAGGAAAGTTGTCAATGATAGCTTGTTCTGGATCATCGCAGTTTCCCAATGTAGATAAGCAACATAGTAATTAGAGGGTTGAAAAATTGGTCACAGGTTATTATTCATTCAAACTGCTTGAATGTGGACTAGAGTAAGCATTGTGGTTTCCTGTTCAGTGTTAGCCACAACACACTTTGCCTCATGTGAAAGTATTCTAGAAGCACGTTTTACTGGGCGAGCTTGTGTGCAAGTTTGCTGAACATAAGAAATAAGAGTAAATTTTAGGGCTCTTTTTCTTTGTTTGATGCAATTTTAATGGGAACTGGCAGACAATTATGCTAAGGAAAGCATAGGGATATTATTAAAATTGTAATCTAAATGTGAAGGAAGAGAAGTGGATGAAAAGATAGCTTGTCGTAAGCAGGAACCAAACCTGCGACTTTCAAATAACACGTTATTAGAAGGTCGCAGGTTCGGTTCCTGCCGGCTTCATGTGAACATGTGAAGATTTCTGTGAGCATTCTTTCCACAATTGACTGTCACTGTTGTGGCTGGCTAAAAACGCTCTCTCTGTCTTGTGCGTGCGTGCAAAAAAGAGCTGACCAATCACACCCACCCAATACTCCGCATGGCTGCAATCCACCCCTGTGAAATCTATTGATGGGGGCAGCGGCGGTGAAGCCAGGAGCCTGTATCTGCAATGTTGTCTAGTCGCCCTTGTGCGGCTGTTGCCTGGCATGCCTCAGTGTCTCCAGGGGACTGTATGTCGAAATGCGGCACTGGGCTTCTGGTGTGCAACATTTGTTGACCTGTTGACGTCTCTCGCTTCGTGTGAAACAATGCCATAACGAGATGTGCGGTGGGTGCAGTCTGAGATGGTGTCGACACAAGATAAGCTTTAAATCTGTCAAACCAGAAGTTGTGTGTAATTGACCACATAGGACTTGCCCTTTCGTTAAAGAACAGAACCAGGTCATATTGCCCCTTGAAATCAAAGTTTATTGGATAAATTTGAATTGTCGAAAATTTTACCTGGGTATGTTTATTCGATTTTTTTTTATAAAACCAAGAACACAAGAGCCCTAGGTATATAATATTTGAATTCGATTTGAATTTATTCGAGCCAAATAACGAGTTGCTTCAAATTTGTTTTGAACCTAAATTTATTGTTTGTACGAGCCTACCGAATTCAACTTAAGGAAATTTAAACGAATAGAAGTGGTTAAACTGGAGGCTATGCACAATAATGAAAAAAAAAAAATGCGAGCATCATTGAAATTCGTGATCTTATTTCTGCTTTTATTTTTTGAGAAGTAATCAAGATCACTGCTTGCTCTATTTGGTAACGCACCTGCTATAGGCGCCGAACTTCAAAGAACATCTGCCGTCAAGCCGGCTCTGCATACTAAAAAAAAATGCTTGTCCGAGTTCTTGTCTTTCTTTCCATTTGCCATGTTAGCTACATTTTGCAAAATTACTGCGCAAAAAAGTTTATGCCAACTTATGGCAATGCACTCAATGTCAGCATGTGGCAGACCTGTGCTCTTACTCCGAGCTGTGTTGTTTTCAGGTTGGGGGCATCAAGCCTGGCTGCTTCAAGATTGGCAACACTGGTGGCATGATGGACAACATTCTGGCCTCCAAGTTATATCGACCTGGAAGGTAACATGCTACAACACGCGTGTTGCTACTGCTAAGCAAGTGTTGATTTGATTTATCTAGCCTCACATTTGTAATCTTTGTTAGGCTTGTGCGAATAGTGAATTTTAGGTTGGAAGTGAATTCGAAGCGAATAGTGATTTTAGAATAATTTCGAATCAATTTTGAGTAGAATATGTGACGTATAAAGAAAAATGGGCATACAGTGGACTCCTCTTGGGAACTCGAAGGGGCCAGAAAATTTATTTTATTTATAAGAAGTTTATTTAAGCAAAGCTCACAAAATGAATGAAATAATGACTTTATTTCAAAAGCACCAACTGTAGCCGACTGAACAAAAACATTTTGATACTACAATAGTTGATTAGAACGGAAAATGTTGCTAATACTGCCGACTTGGAAAAAAGGAGGTGATAACAATTTGCTTGGCCTTGTTCAAGTACAGTCGCCGACCGATTTTTCGGACCTGGCGGGGACCGTAAAAAAATACGAAAAATCGAACAGTCCGAAAAATTCGTTTTCGCCAAAAATCTGAAGTTTATTGCATCAGGCAGGTTTAAAAAAGTCCTTGATGCTGCCTTGCCTCAAACTACGCTTGGAGGCAATTTGGTTTGCCCGTATTTGCGCCAAGGTGACATCATCGCCGTAAACGCTCAACAAAATTGTCACCGCGTTGGCGATCTCCGCCGCCGACGGCTGCGGGCGGTCGTCGTTGTCGTCATCCGACGACAACGACGACCGCCATTCGGCGTCGACCGTCATCCGGCGACATCTAGCTGCGAACGTCCACTCTCTATTAGCTTGATTATGGCAGCTTTCTTCTCCATCGTCAGAGTCGTATACTTCCCACGCTTCTTCACACCACCTGGCTCCCGCGATGGCACAGATGGCGGAGCCATGGCACCGAGAACACAAAATTCGATGCCGCAGATAGCCGCTGCGAAGCACACAACGTCTCGACGCTACGCGACATAACACGTGCAGAATGGCGACTGAAAAAAGCTGCAACGACGATAAAAGAATCCTTCTTTCGCCTCCTCCCCGTGCGATGTGATGACGATAGTGCTGACCGAAGACGAAAAAACGGCATCCATCACCGCGTCTTTTAAAAAGCAAACACGGTCTCCGAAACTTAAAATATGGCGTGCGCATTCCAATCTCGGAGGCAGGAAAGGCATCTGAAAACCAAGCTTAGCCAAGCCGACTTTCTCACATAGGAGTGCATTGCTGAAAGCCTAGGCAGGAACTCGGTGCCGCCATCGTATTCAAAGTAGCACTGCAACAGAATGACAGCATCTCTTGCTTCACTGTCAGCCACTGAAATGAGCTCGGTATCACACACCATCTCATCACCACTTGAGCAGAGGTCCTCAACTTGAACTTCAGCTATAGGCTCCTCAAGGCTGTCCTCAAGTTTACGACGAGACGTCGATTGGTGCTCGGCGTGCGCGGACATGTGCAATCACTGGATTGGTTTCGCTAAGCTAGCTTTGGCATTTGTTTCATGGTTGCTAGACTGCCGTGGCTACTTCCGTCATTATGGATTTTGCTTGTTTCTGTTTCATTTAACTGATGTAAGGGAAAAAAAATGTTCCAATCACCCAAAACTTTTTATCATTAAATATATAGGAGACCAACCAAATGGGCCTAGATAGTTTCGTTTATGTGGCTTTTCCGTTTAACCGAGTTTCGTTTATTGGGAGTCCACTGTATTTGTCATGACTTAACTAACCTGCACAGTATTTTTAAAAATGTAAATAGGGCCTTTATGCAAATGCCATTTCTTTTTTCGTTCTAAGGAAGTCGAAACAACTTTGGATAGTAGCAGGATTTGACTTTCAGCAGGATGCGAGTCATTACCCTTAAAATACGTAACATTTATAACTTATTATACTTAGAGCATATAAGCATTCATAACAAGCTTTTAAGCCTAATAAAATGTATTTATTCGAGGGTAATGTTATTATTTAAAGGGGCTGTCCAACTTTCAGTAGATTCACTAAAGAAGCTTGAAGCTTATTGCCTCTGCAAAAATTTACAGAATTCATCTAGTACACACAGAGTTGCAAAGATTTCTCGTAATCTGCTAGTGTATTCTCTCGTCTCGTCCCGACGAAAGCGCTGGAAGCTAAGCAGAGAAAGATGGCATGGGAAAAGAAAATACTTCAAGCGTTTCTTCTGAGCTTGTGGAGTCATTTGCCTTGAGAAAAGAGCACTTTTTAGCTGACTTTGAAAATTTATTGTGAATCGCACATCATGTGCTGCACTATGATATTTGGCTTGTATGTCCTCGGTAGCCTTGACTACTGATCGGCAGCATTTTCTAACAATGCTCAAAAAGTGTTGCAGGGCCCCTTTAAATTGGTAGGAGGGCTTTGCGGCAGAGCGGATATTTCGTGTATAGGAGCTTTCGCAGTTCAGCAGCACTACACTGCAATTCACCTTTACAAGCAGTACATTTTGACTAATATGCACCTTATGGCATACTTTGGCCATAAATATCACAAACACAGAGAGGAGGAACACACAACGACAAGCACACGCACCACTTCTAAGGTAGATCGAGCGCAAACCTAGACTTAAGTAACAACATACATACATGTGCAGTCCTCACACAGCCTTACGCTATCCAGCTATCAAACAATCTCCTCTCGGATGCGTATGTCACCGACGTGTCTCTGATACACCTCTCTCCTTTCTTTTTAATGTAGTAGGCTTCCATCAACCCACGCGCAGCTTCATATCTACTCCTACCTAGAATCTTAAACTCTTTAAAACGTGGTACACACCCGCAGGCTTTGCAATGCATAGGCAAATGTGCCAAGCCATCCTTAATTAGATTTGATTCATGCTCCCTAACCCGTTCATATATACAGAGCCCGGTGGTCCCAGTGTATGAGTTGCCACAAGAAAAGGGAATTCCATAAACCATGCTTTTGGCACATTTCCCGTAGGTCATGTACCAGCAACACGTCGGTGACGTTGTACGCATCGGGGAGGAGATTGTTTGATAGCTGGATAGCGTAAAGCTGTGTGAGGACTGCGCATGTCTGTATGTCTGAGTTTGTGGCCAAAGTATGTCATTAATGGGAGATGCTACTCGAACAACCATTTTCTTTAATAAGAGTTCGAATTTAACACAAATTGGCATGCTACAGTGCAGTCCGCTTATAACGATATCGAGAAAACCTAAAAATATGATCGTTATAACCGGTGATCGTTATATCTGGACTGCCGCCAAAAAATCGTCGCCGGACGTACCTTTTGTAGCTCCAGGCTTCATTTCGCTATTTTCACCAATTAATAAATATTGTAGATAGTAGGATGTCAAAAACAAGACTTTATTTCTTACTCCAAAGAACGCATCGCGGGTTCGCTGAGGAAGAAAGACTGACCGACGGCGGGGTGGGAGCAGTGGGAGGAAGAAAGCACAGCCAGAGGTACACAGCCGGAATGCCAACGAGGCCCCGCCCCGATGCCGCCGCGCCGCTTTGCTTTTTGCTTTTTTATTTTCTCTCTCTTTCCCGCTTTCGTTCGGCAAGCTACGAGTAGCTTGCCGGCTTGCCGTTGTAGAAGGCGGGGAGCCGCGGAGCGCGGCGCTTTGCTTTTTGCATTTTTTTTTAATTCTCTCAGCCTCTCCGCGGTCGACGCGCGGCCAGGCGCAAAACGTGACACAGCTGGCGCCATCTGTAGCGCGTCGCGCCAACTCGCGATGCTCGCCTCGGCTTTTTCAACGGCCGGGACGCGCTGCCGGCGCTGTGCTGCAGTGGCGGCAGATACGTACTCGCCTACGCTAACTTTTCGTCTTGTCTCGGCATAGTTCGTTTCAGAGGAACTTATCAATCTAAATGTTACGATTATTCTGAATGAAACATGCCGTCCACGGCAAACTTTTCATCGTTGTATCCGATATGCGGTGAATAACATATCGTTATATATGGTTTTTTTCCCCATAGCCCCAATGCATAAAATGAGACTGTTAAGTCGACCCATCGTTATAACCGATATATCGTTATATGTGGTATCGTTATAAGTGGACTGCAGTGTAATAGAGTTTTTTCTCCTCTTTTCAAATATGTCACTTACCGTAATTACTCGAATCTAACGCGCACCTTTTTTCCGGTTAAGGGGGGACGCGGCTTTGGGATCGCGAAAAATGGCAAAAAAAATCGATTTTTTGAAACTCAAGTTTTCAGTTTCTGGAACCCTTTTTCTATCCGATTCCAAAATATCTACACTGAAAACCGTGCAGAAGTGCTTCGGAAAATTCGTTTCACCCACCTAGGTAGCAAAAATATTTCTGGAAATGGCGAGAAAACGGCGATTTTCAAAAAATAATAGCTTCGCTATGCTTGGGCCGGGAGCCGGCTTCTTGGGCTCATCGGAAAGAGCATTTTTCCGTGTTTAACTTTCCCACCTCAGCTGGCTCCTCCCTTTGACAACAAGCGAGCAAAAAGCAAATGTTTGAAGGTCGTTTTGAGGCCCTTGATTGGCCGTGGCTGCCATGTTGCCTCAGCTTGCCTCGCCATTGGCCCGATGCTCGCTCCGGGAGATCGTCGTCTGCTGCTTGTGCGTCGCGAGGACATGGCTCTCGAAAATCGCCACTTCGTGACGTGTTCATGGCTTGATAATCACTTAAGATATAAGAACGCTTTAGTTACGAGCAGTAAGCGGATGCGCGATCAGGTTACTACGACCGTACGAGCGCCGCGCGTCATTGAAGTCGTCTTTAGCCCTAACTTCGCCGACTGCGGGCAGGAACGACCCGCTAGCGCATTCGTGGCGACGTGTTTCTTCACAAGCAACGAAGCTGTAAGCGGCGGCACGACCTGATTACTACGAGTGGCCGCACCGGATGCACGATCGGATTACTACAAGCGGGCGCGCGGCGGTCTACGAGTGCGGCGCGTCATCGGAGTCGGCTTTAGGCCTAACTCCGCAGACAGCGAGACTGCGGGCAGGAACGACGCGCAAGCGCACTCTTGGTGACGTGCTTCTTCGCA